TTTATTTGTAAAGTCATATAATCAGATTTATAAAAACAAATAGCCTTGTGATTTCCCACATACCTTTTTGTGCATGTGAAATTGTTTAAAGTTCATTAACTCATCATCGTTCTATAGGTCCATCACAGTGGAGTGGTATGTATATGGAATATTGTTTCGAGTCTGTGCTCTAAATTATGCATGCAGTGCTGGGTTGACTTTTTAGAAGAGTTAGCACTCATATGTCCTGACTCCAAAGATAACATGCAATGAGGTTTTTGGTCCTGCACTCAAACTCATGGTTTGGGTATATAGATGCTGTAAATAAAAAATAAAATAAAATAAAAAATTTTTTTTCTGTATGAGTCAGTGCTTAATAAATTGTCTAGAGTTTAATTTATTGAAATTCTCTTGCTCACAGTACTTCTACTTTTTAATCACTGCTAATTATAGTTATTATTTTATGATTGCTTTTTATACTTACATTTTTTTCAATAACCTGTACAAAACAAATTTACGTTTTCATATAAACTTGGGTCAGGGAGGAAACACTAACAAAAACACAAAATTTTATAAAAGCCCACTCAGGGTCTTGCCAGTATTCCCGAAAGTTTAAATTTGTATTAGGTAAAATTTTTCTGTTTGTTTTATCTTGATGAGAGTGGATGAGATCAGTTCTTTAATGTTTTCTGAATCCTATAATACTGTATTTTTTTAAGTTACGTTATTTTATAATTTCTGCTTATAATTCCTATAGCTGTTTAGAGAGTTAGCTACTAGTGCTTTTAGGTTTTTCAAAACAAGGTCTTTCTTTGTAGTTCAGACTGACCTCAAGCTCATGATTCTTTGCATTGTTCTGAGTGCTGAGATTATAGACATGTTACCACTATGCCCAGCACTCTACTCGTGTTCTTAATACTGATCTGAAATAATGCTTATTTTTAAGTATGTCAGCCTTCTAGTGTGCCAAGGTTTTATTTCTGTAAGATTTAATCTTCTAGATTAAACTTTGGACAGTAACAGTTTTCATTTGTTGTAAATATTATTTCATGCTTGCTTTGTAAAAAATACTATCGCCATTCTGATTCTGGTGTCTGTGGTGACTCTTGAGAGTTTGGAAAATTTTATCAGAGTTTCTCATACCGGTCAGTGGTGTCACTGGCATTTTTTATGTATGTAAATCTAATTAACAGTATACATCTGATCTTTTCTATCCTGTTTTCATTCTTTCACATTTTTACCTGGGAACATAGCATGGTTTTTTTTGCATATTTTGCTTTTTATGTAGATAAAATATAGACTAAATTGGAAGTTGGTAGTGGATGTTTTCTTTTAAGAAAATTTAGGGAAGTTTGTTGTCACTTTCAAGAAAATAGAAGTAGTGAATTTATGCTACACTTAGATTGGGGTGCAGCTGGTAATTTGTTCATTTTAAGTTAAGGCTCTCTGGGCAATGATTTTAGGGTCTTCTTGAGTGAGTGTTAGCAGGAACCTGAATTACCCCAGTAAATGGACTTACTGTAAATTCAAAAGCACTTTACTCCAAAGTTCTTGGTGAAACCAGAAGAAATAATTGATTATTCAGTATCTCATGTAATGAAAGTCTGGGTCCTTTTCCTCTTGAAAAACAGATTTGCAATCATAAAAATGGCAGTCTGTGTAACTATTATTGCTATTTGAAATATAAACCTAAAGCTGGGCATGATGGCTCAAGCCTATAATCCTTGCTACTCAGGAGGCAGAGATCATGAGGATAGTGGTTTGAGTCCAGCTGTACAAAAAGTTCACAAGACCCCATCTCAGAAAAGCACCTGTCATCCCAACTACATGGAAACCATAAATAGGATCATGGTCCAGGCCAGCACAGGCGTAAAGTGGATCCCATCTCAAAAATAACCCAAAAACAGAAAGGGCTGGCAGTATGGCTCAAGTGGTAAAGCACCGCCTAGCAACTGTGACGCCCAGTACCACCAGAGAGATCTAAAACTGATTAAAATGAAATTTTGTACCTGCCTGAAGGGTTTGATGTATTGTCTTATTCCAGGAGTGTACATAATACATATATGCCATTTTGTCCCTTATTTGTCCATCAATTGAAAATGTGTTAGAAAAGGACTCTGCTTTTAGCAAAGTTTAATTTTATCCTTGCTTTGGGTCCAGTTAGAAAACTGGGTAAACCTTAGCTTTAACAGCCAGACCTGTAATATACGTGAGTGTAAACCATAGACATGCCCCAGTGTGATGCCCTGCAGGCATCATATCTGTAGGGTAACTCTGCTGCTTTCAACTATGCATTTTTTCCTTGAATAGTTTATATACCAGGAGACAATATCTGTGTGAGTTGTGATCTTTCTGCATGCTTCATTCAATGTTTATAATTATATATGATTGCAAATTTGTGTACCATGATCCTCATGGTAGTCCCAAATGAAATCAGATGATACCATTTTATTCCTTTTAAGGTGAGGTGGGTTTTTTTTGTTTTGTTTTTGTTTTATAAAATGTAGGAAACTATGCCGTCTACCTACAAAACTGGAAATAATTTCTGTAAGTTTAAATTCTGTTTTAGTGAATATTTTTCAGAAAACAACCTGAAGATGATCTTTCAGCTGAGTCTTTCAGAATAAATTCATAAGAGAACCTTTGTGCTAAGATATGATGTAAAATAAAATGCAAGCATGAAACCTTTTTTTCTTGGTGTTATTTTGGTTTCATACATTTTAAAATGAATTGCCTTGTTAGTATGTTTATGGAGGAAAAGAAAAAAACATACTTTTTTTTTCTCTCTTATTTCAGCACCACCACCTCCACCGCCATCTAGGGGAGGGCCTCCACCACCTCCTCCCCCTCCGCACAGCTCAGGCCCTCCTCCTCCTCCTGCCAGAGGAAGAGGTGCTCCTCCCCCACCACCCTCCAGAGCCCCCACAGCTGCACCACCTCCACCGCCTCCTTCCAGGCCAGGTGTGGGTGCCCCCCCACCTCCGCCAAATAGGATGTACCCTCCTCCACCTCCAGCCCTTCCCTCTTCTGCACCTTCAGGGCCTCCACCACCACCTCCACCTCTGTCAGGGACAGGGTCAGTGGCACCACCCCCACCACCCCCACCTCCACCTCCACCTGGACCACCACCTCCCCCTGGCCTCTCTTCTGATGGGGACCATCAAGTTCCAACTCCTGCAGGAAACAAAGCAGCTCTTTTAGATCAAATCAGAGAGGGTGCTCAGCTCAAAAAAGTGGAACAGAACAGCCGGCCGGCGTCCTGCTCTGGAAGGGATGCACTTTTAGACCAGATACGACAGGGTATTCAACTAAAGTCAGTAAGTAATGTGTCCTTTTCATCTTAGATCATTTATCACAATGGAGTTTTGAAGTAATTTATATGAAAGACACCTTTTAAATTTATTCTTTTATCTTTCCTTACACTATTTATATTCAGTTTTTTATTCCTATGGATTTTTCAGTATCTTTAAAGTGACATGCACAAGATTTTAGTTCATTGTTTTGGGTTTCTTTCTTTTTTTGTGATGTTGGTGTTTTGAACTCAGGGCCACACACTTTCTAGGCAGGCATTCTACCACTTAAGCCATGCCCCCAGCCCTTTTTGCCTTAATTAGTTTTCAGATAGGGCCTCGCTTTTTTACCCAGACCAGCCTCAGACCACAATCCTTCTACCTTTACTTCCCAACTAGTTGGAATTAAAAGTATAAGCCACCATGCCCAGCTTGTTCTTTGAGTTAGGGTTTTGCTAACTTTTTTGCCTGGTCTAGCCTTGAACTACAATCCCACTATCTCCACCTCCCAAGTAGCTGGGATTATAGATGTGAACACTGCACCTTGCCATTAGTTCAGTTTTGATAAATGCCTATAACTGTAACTCACTTTTATATCAAAATCTAGAACATTCTAGACAGAACATTCTGTCACTCCAGAAAGTTACCTTATGTCTCTTCCCAGTTTGTTCATCTTCAAGTAATCACTGATTTGATTGCCATAGGTTTGCCTTTTCTAGAACTTAATATGAAAAAATTTTTATATAGTATGTTCATTCACAATTGCTCTAGACCTTTTTTTCTTTTTTTTTTTTTCCTTTTGGTGGGACTGTAATTTGAACTCAGGGCTTCTTGCTTGCAAAGTAGGTGCTCTACCACTTGAGCCACACTTCCACTTCCAATTCATTTTGCTGTAGTTATTTTGGAGATGGGATCTTGCAAACTATTTGCCTGGGCTGACCTTGAACTATGATCTTCCCCATCTCAGCCTCCCCTGTAACTAGGATTACAGGCTTGAGCCACTAATGCTTGACTAGATCTTACTTTTAAATAAAGTCTACTTAGGGAAGGGCAGGAGGAAGGTGGAAGTGACCCAAACAATGTATACACATGTAAGTAAATGTAAAAACGGTAAAAGAAAGAAAAACAAAATTGGCTTAATAAAACTCCTGAAGTCTAGTATTAATCAGATTTCTTTCAGCCATAGAACATTACAATTAAGAATCCAGTTTGACTGCTTACCTTAACAAATATTTATTGATCATTCACTGTGTGCCAACTACTGTCAAAAAAAAAAAAGTAAAAGAAAAATCCTTATTAAACTATGGGAAATTAAAAATAGCCCCGCTTGAATCCAAGTTCAAGCCAGTAACCTTATGAAAACTAAGTCATTCTCTAAAATTTCCATATCCCCAAATTTAAAGTAGTTAAAAACATCAGAGAAAACTTTAGAGAAGAGTTCTAATAGAATTTTGACAGTGATGGCAAGATAATTTTGGATTCTTTGAATTGGACAAGGTGATTAATTAAATCTTTTAGATCATTTAATTTCATAAAAGTTGACAAACTTGTTCCATAAAGGATCACATAGTAAATATTTAAGCTTATGTTGGGCTCTTATTACAGCTGTTCAACTCTGTTGTACCACAAATGCAGCCATAGACAATACGTAAATTAATGGGCATTATGGTGTTGTATGAAGTTTTGTTTTTGGACATTGAAATTTGAATTTAATAGAATATTCGTATTACAAAATATTCTTCTTTTAATTGTCTTTCTGCCACTTTAAAAAAATGTAAAAATCATTGTTAGCTTTCAAGTTGTTGAAAAAGACAACAGTTTAGACCTTAGCCCACAGTTTAGTTTACTGTCCTACTCACCACTTCCCATTAGAACCCTCTCTCTTCCCTTAAAATAAGCAACTTATTGGTTGTCTCTAGAGAGAGATGGGTTTTTTCGAGATAAGGTCTCAAGAACTATTTGCCCAGGCTGGCTTCAAACTGCGATCCTCCTGATCTCTGCCTCCTAAGTAGCTAGGATTATAGGCGTGCCAGGTTGTTTTCCTTTTTATTGTATTCAGGGTATTACAATAGAGTACATAATCAGGAAATTATTGCCATGTTACACATGTGGTCTGAAAATTTCTCTGACTCTTACTTTAAATTTTCTGTGTATATCATCAGCTTATTCAGAGATGAATATGACTAAAATGAAGCTGCAGATTTAACTAAGGGATAGCAGGAGGTCTATAAGTACTCACTTTCATATACTTTAAATTCCATATCTATGTCCCTCAAATAGCACCTTGTCCAAGTAAGTACTAAAACAAATATGTTTGGTGACAGTGCTGTGCTCCTGCTTTGTGCTCTCTGCTTTGTGCGATCAGATTGTTTGAAGATAATCCTGACTACTGTTGTATTTCTTTGAGAACCTCATGCAAAAATACAAAGCCCTGAAGCTATTTTCTTTAAAGTTTGTCTTCATAATTTTTATTTGGGAAATGGTTTAGAATTTCAAAAAATACATATATTTAAAAACTTGTTTGATTATTTCCTATAGCTATGGTATCACATCTTTAATTACACCAATATTATACCTTTATATTTATATGGGTAATGTTAACCCAGAGACAAAATTAACTAAATGGATATGTAAAAACAAGTGCCATTTTAGTCAAAGTGTACTTAGCGGCAAACTTTCTAAATTGAATTTTTTGCTTCTGAACATTTGAATGTTGGAAGCAGGGATAATTTTGTATGAACTATTGTTCTGGAACAAATGTTAATGAAAGTCTTTGGGTTTTGGTTTTTTTTTTCGCTGAAGATAGTTTGGAAGAGGTGGAAGTATTTCATCTTAGAGTAGTTAGTTTTTTCATCTAAGATTTTATGTGCTGGAATGAACATAAGTAGCCCATCTGCAAGAGCAATTATTATTCAGGAGAAGGCTTGCCATCTAAATTGTTTTGTAAATGTATTGATGGCTTTCTCATTACAAAGGAAAGGAAATATTTCTTGAATAATTCTTTAAAGACAGCAGTGCGTTTCTTTTTAATATGGTTAATCTTGTAGAAGGTTACATATTTCCTTGTTTGCCTTTTCAGTTTAAGACCTGATTCTAAGAAAATAAGGCATTCTGGAGACAAAGATTCTTTGCTAAGGATTTATAATAGAAATTTGCTAATTTTCTTCTCCAAGGTGTCTGATGGCCAAGAGTCCACACCACCCACACCTGCCCCCACTTCAGGAATTGTGGGTGCATTGATGGAAGTGATGCAGAAAAGGAGCAAAGCCATTCATTCTTCAGGTATTTTCCATGTGTGTAAAATAACGGCTATTTATTGTGCTATTTTTCTTTTTATTTTTATGTCTGTTTTTGTTACCTTTCTCCCTGCTTACTCAGTAACTTACTAATGGGGTGTAGGGTGTATTTAACAAGGTTTTCCCTGTGACCAATCCATGTGAAATTTAATGGATGCTGGGACATTATACCCATAACCATAAACTGGAAGAACACCTTTGGAAAAATGATTACTTTTGTTTCCTAGACTGGAAAATCCTAATAGAATCTCTAGCAAGTCATCTCTAAACAAAGCTTGAGATTTCTGGATCTTATTTATGTGATACTATGATGACACAAGAAATTCAGGAGGTTTATCTTAATTTATAATGGTTATAGCTGAGAAATTAGGTAATTTCCACTGGTTCTGGAACCTACTAAAGAATATTCTTCAAACTTTTTGTCATTTTGTAAGAGGTTTATTTGAATAAACCAGTCTGTATTCTGAGATTGTTTTAAATATACACACCACTATGTAAATGCTAAATGTTCTTTTAAACAAGCAAGAATATGAATCTGGCTGATTGAAGTGATTGAGGTTTACTAAAGATCTCAGCCTTCATGGAGTAATAACCATTCTACATTATAGTGAGAGATAAAATTAATTACGTGATAAAATTAATTAGAAAAAAATAGTATGTTAAATGGTGGTAGGTAATAAGGACAAAACTTCAGTAAAAAAGTGAGATAATAGGTAGTTACAAGCTGTGAGAGGGAGATTCATTTTGGAATGGAATGATAAGCCTCATTGATTTATATTTGAAAAACAACAAGAAGGAATCATGTAGGAAACATGTAGAATACTGGGAATAGTATGTTGGAAAGAACAACAAGTGCAAAGTACCTCGGAGGAATAAAAAGGTCAGTATGGCTGGAGAAAGGAATGAAATAGGAGGCCATTACTAAGGCCTCAAAAATGATTGGCTTTTATTCTGAATGTGACGGAAAGCCATCAGAGGTGTTTAGTAGAGGAGTGTCAGTGATCCAAGCAAGAGATAATAAAGGCTTGAACCATATGTGCCAGGGAAAATGGTTAGTTGTATTTTGAAGGTGGGCATCACTGGAAAAAAAAAAAAGAGGAGTGAAGGACTTATGATGTAAGAATTTCGATAACTGCCAGTGTCAAAGAGATAAATAAATGGTCCAAATTCTGGCCAAATGAGGGAAATGGAAGGTTTATATGAAATACGTGACTACAATAAAGCATTTACTCTGTTCTGCTAAATAGTTTCCTATTACGTGTTTTTTTTTTTTTTAAAGACAATATTATATAATAGTCTTGCTGTAAATAAGGACATATAATATGGCTATTATGTGTTCTCATATATAGCATGGCAGGTATAATGAATGTGTAGCATACTTACCTAACCATTATTTCTGTGGTAGTACCTGATGATAGGATTCTTAGCTGCTCCCTCCTTTCCACTATAGAGGAGTGGCTAGCTAGTAAATTTCTATCTTTTATCAGTCTGTAAATGCCAGTAAGGTAAAATTTTGAAGCACATCAACAAAAGTTTTGAGTGGTAAATTATTTTCCTTGCTAAAAAAGTAAATCAGAAGGTAACATAAAGCCAGTTCAACTCCTTTCCAAATAAATTCTGTAACATTTAGAGCTGACCATCAGACTTAATTAAATTCTTAAAAATTATAATTAGTTGGGTGCAGTGGCTCACACCTGCTGTGTAGCTGCTGAAGAGATGGAGATGGGGAGGTTCATGGTTCAAAGCCAGCCTGGACAGACAACTTGTAAGATACCATCTCTGCCAATAAAAAGCTGGGTGTGATGGTGCATAGCAGTCATCCCAGCTATGCAGGAAACCTATTAAATATGAGCACTGTGGTCCAGGTCAGCCCATACATAAGAGCAAAGATCCTATCCGAAAATTACTAAAGCAAGGATTAGAGAAATAGTTCAAGTCATAGAGTGCCTACCCAGCAAGCTCAAGACCCTGAGTTCAAACCCCAGAAATAATTTAGTTTGAGCCAAGAGAAGATAGATACCTTTGCTTCTCTCTTCTGACTTTGTTAATTTCCAAGTTCTAATCCTGAATCTCAGGTACTTTTCTATAGAATGCTTTTAAAAATTTTGTTTTATAGAGGGAAAAATAGAAGAAAAACATTGTTCTGTGTTCTGTCCACCTAGTCCACATGTATGATGTCATATACTCAGTTCTTACTGCCTGTTATTATCAAGTACAAGTACTTTGGTATTGGTTCACTTTACAAGGTTGGCCTTCATGGATTTTATGAGATATGTTGGAACTACAGAAAGTTGATAGAGTATAACGTGCTTACAGAATTTGATGACACTGAAACATTTATTCATTCAGCAAGTACTTACTGAACAATTTCTGGGCAGCACTGTTTTGGTGTTGAGGGTCCAGTGACAAATAAGGCAGACAGAGTCCTGCTTTCATGGAGCTTGTATTCCAGTGTGAAGACCATGCATCTGTAGACAATAAAAGAGTTATGCAAAAAGTAAAATGGTATAGTTAGTTACTGATTGTGGAGAAGGGTTACATGGGATGGTCAGTAAAGACTTCTGTAGAGGTGGATTTTGAGCAGGACCTAAATGAAGACTCAGCCAGACAGAAGAAAGTGCTACTTCAGAAGCTCTAAAACAAGGATAAGCTTATAAGCTTGACATGGCTGAGGGACAGAAAGGATTCTACCTTTCTAGAAACCGTGAATCAAAGGAGAGGGCATTATGATAAAGGCTTGGTGAAGGGTGAGAATAGTAGGTGGGCAAATTATGTAGGGTCTTTGAGGGTGAGGTCACATCAGGTTTCATTCAGAAAGCAGTGGTTGACCCATACATTTAAATTTAAGAAATAATATCACTCCATCTGCTCTGAGGAAAATGGACTGTAGAGTTGCAATAATCAAAGCAAGATACCATGGTGGTATAAAAAATAGTATTGCAGTGGAAGTGGTGGAAAGGAACAGACGTGATTGGATAGTGAAAAAATAAAAAGAGGAATCAATAATATCTACATTTTTGGCCTAATTACCTGAGAGAATGATGGTACCAGTAATTGGAGGTAGAAAGGAAGGTTGGGAAAGGAGAAAAAAACTTCAGAAGTTTTCAGTTTGAGAATTTATGTGAAGAGTACAGGAAGGTAGCAAATTTATAATATGCAAGTCTGAAATTCAGAAAGGTCAACTCGAATTTAATTTTACATGTTAAGAAACATGTGAGTTGAAATTTGTTGCATAAATACTAAGGAGCTAGAATCCAAATCTTGGAACTCCCATTCTAATCTTCACTCACCATCTCTCTTTAGGTGTGTTTGATTAGATTTATTTTAAGCTATTTTAGTAATTAGATTTCTCTAAGAATTAAATGATTTGTTTCAGGAGTCAAATAATTGGAGAAGTCACCCAAGAATTAGTAAGTAGTGTTGTCTAACTGATAATGTTTTTTAATTGTTTGTTGTGATTTTCTTCTAGATGAAGATGATGAAGAGGATGATGATGAAGATTTTGAGGATGATGATGAATGGGAAGACTGATCTATATATTATATATATATATTTTTAAGGTGAAATACTAAACACTACTTTCTGTCTATGGATTCTGTAAAATTATCATGTAAATGTTCTACCAATTTGCTGTATATTTTTGTTGCCTTTTTGCTTTTTTTTAATTAATCTGTGCAATACCTCATTTAATCTGTAAAGGTTTGTCATAATCTTCTACAAAGCTACTCCCTGTTACTGTGTGCAAGTTTACACCAGAATGCTCACTTGATTTGTGAATATTTTTCATTCCATCAACAAGGGAGTTAAAATATTATATGTGAGACTGACAAAAACCTTATTGTAATTTAGTTATAATGCCAGAAGGAAAACACTATTTTCATACCCTACTTTTTCTGTACCTAAATTTTCTTATTAAAACCTAGTATAGCACTACATTCTTTTTCAAGTAATGTAAACCTTAGTTTCTTTAGCCCCTTTGTTTTGAATATAATGCTACAGATGAATGTTGAAGCTGATACATTGCACAGTTCTCTAGACACACTGATGCAATTTTTCAAAATTTTAGCAATATGCTCTGCATAAAATCACTACAGAGATCCTAATGGAGAAAAACAGTAACACACTTATTTATAGTGATATGCTTGTCATTGGCATAGCAGTGGTGTTTGCAGGCTGGAATCATAAAAGCGCCCTCACATACCTGTAACCGAATGAAGTTATTTTTATGCTGTAGCAAATGTGGCAGGCTCTTTTTGGCAAAAGCTTCAAAACTATTTTTGGTATTATTCTGAAAAGTTATTTAAGTTGGAATTTTAAAGGGTTGGAGGATAGTTTATTGCTTTATGAACCATTATGGTTACTCCAATATTTGATTAAAAATACTACCAGAATATTATTTAATGATGTGGAATTAAGTGCTTTTATTTTGCCATTTGTGTGAATTAAAGTATTCAGAGAGTCCAACCATAAAAAGCAAATTCATTGGCAATGCTATGCACTGTAATGCTAAACCTAACATGCTCTATATTTTCATTTTGGTAATTTGTGAATTTTTATTTTCTTGTCAAATACCAGGTTAAGGGTTCTTGAAAGATCAGTGGTCCCCATGTTATGGAATACATAACTGATTTGATAGATTTTTTTTTTTTTAATCTTACAACCTGCACATTTGTTATGCATACTACATGGTGTGTTAAAATTAGGGTTTCCTTGCCTTCTGCAATACACTAACCTGCCAAAAGGTGGTTCTTTCATATTTAGTGCTAATTAATCATACCTACCTATTTTAGATTTTAGGTAGAAAATTGTCTGATTAAATACAGAAGTATTTTTCTCACATTGAGTCGTATGCAGAATGTAGTTCCAAATGTATTTCATTATTACAGTCATGATATCCAACTAAAAATTATGCTATCTAGAATTGTACCAACCAAAATCTAGTGTTGGCATGATCTTGACAGGCTGGTCCTGCAAGATGTGGCTTGAATTTTAACCAGTTTATCACATAATCTCTAGGGATCATGCATCTAGGTATCATAAAAAATAATTTAAAAGGTTTAGTTGCTGAAAGCAGCAAATGGTGCAGTAAAATACTTAAGTTATTCAAAGAATGTTACCTTCCTTGCAAGAGTAATTTAAGCACATGGGAAAGATTCTAGTTTTTTGTTTCCTGTAAAAACAGTGCTCTTTGCTGCTAGAAATTGTTTTCTGCTTACTGTCATTTTTATTGTGGCTTTTGCTCAGTGAGTCTGGTATGGATGAGGCTGGACAGCTACTAACCAATAAAATTAGAAATTTGTGCAAATAGCAAGTAGGAAGCAATAATTAAGTAAGTTATATTGGACTCTTTTTGACATTTTAAAAAACATTTAAAATTTCCTTAAAATGTCTTTATAAAGTAATACCAATTTACTTAACTTTTGGCCAAGAAGTTTAGGATTTTCCAGCTGACTTTGGTATTTACCAGGAACTTCTCTGAGGACAGGATATTTCTTCTTTCAGTTGGAAACACAGTATGTAAGATGGGTGCATAATTTGCCAAAGGTAATTGAATTTTTTTTTTCTTAAATAAAAAGACTGTTGTTACTGCACAAAGTCTAAATTACTATTGGTTAGAATACAATAGCTGTGAGGTTCAGTCCAGGCATGAAGACTAAATCCTCTTTACTAAGTAAGATGTGAGGTTGCATGTTTCAGTCCTCCACCGTCTTGCACTGTGGGCAGACACTACACCTGTGAGTGTCTGAAAGCCTCCCATGTATATCCCAGCTAAATGATTATCTGGTAGCCTTTGCATTTAACAAACTAGCATGAGGCCTTTTATATCTAAATGCTATGTGATAGACAATTTCAGCTAGCCACATATTGTATGTATGAGATTCATAAAGATTTTCAATCATTCATTTCCATTTATCAACTGAAATTTTGTTTAGTATGTGAAATTTTTTTGAACTGTATAGTGAATAGGATGTTGCACTGGTGGCAATTCATCATGGAGCATAATAAAATTAATTTGATCCAAATAGTATAAAATAGTGTGCTTTTCTTTGTTTATTGAAAGATTGAAATAAGTTAAAAAGTTTAAACTAGAATATAACAGAGTACACAACAGTGAATGATAATGGTTGAGGTTTTCAACAGACTACATGCTCTGAGAGTTAGAATGTGCCACTAAATAAACACGGGGAGCACAAGAATGTCACACCCTGTTCTGTTGGGAAACGTGACAGCTGCTCTGCAGCACCCTTGGAAGCCTCTCCTGCCTGGTACACAGAGCACTCACATTATAAAGTCAAACTCTTTGAAACCCTTTCACATGCAAACAATGTTAAAGTTTTCCAGATTAGAATGATAACTGAAGTTTACTGGTAGTTTCATTAAATGCCACACAGTGTGAGACATAAATACCCTTTTAAAAACAGTATGGAAGATGGTGCTTATTTTAAACAGGAAACTCCATTTTTGATAATAGAATTTCTTGTTCCACTGACCCTCGCACAAGTGGGTGTCTGGAGATTAAATTGAGTTATGGAATCCAGAGTGTAGGATGCTACAGAATGCCTTTAAGAGCGTTAGCCAAATTTAACAAACATTTCAAAAACAGTATGTTCTGTTAAAAAGCTGTTGTACAAATGTGATCGCTTAAGAATATATTAAGCCTCTAAGAGAACTTTTTAAGAGAATTATACCTCAGAATTGTCCTGTCACATCATATTTATCTAATCAACAGAGAGATTCCTGAAATGACTCAGCCTTAGAACTGAGCTCCTGAAGGACAAGTGGAGGGACAAGGCCTATTTATGGTACAACAGAAAACCCTTTGTGGAAAGTTGGGAGTTTTTACTTTGCACATTCATTTTACTGACACTCCACTCACATCTCTTGGTCATTTATTCATAGCTTTTTAATTATTTTTTTCTTTTTAAGGAAACCACTGAGGAAAGGTGTTAACCTACCTGTTATGAATATAATGTAGATTATACTTTGGAACTAATGCTAAGACTCCTGCCCCTTTACTTCTGTATGTAATATTGCTAGGAGGAGCCTACGTCCAAATGCAACTGCCATGATTATACACTGATCAGTAATTACACTGTTGATGCAGTATTTTATTCCATACAATTAATAAACTGGCTAACTATCACCACCAAGATAGACAAATTGAGTAAAAAAACCCAAGTAATTTATAGGAGATTTTGAGTTTAGTCAGATATTTATGTGTTGGGGAATTTATAGTAAATTTGAAGTGGCCCCTAAATTTCTTTATTCCCTGATCAATAATTACACTATTGATGCAGTATTTTTATTCCATACAATTAATAAACTGGCTAACTATATCACCACCAAGATAGACAAATTGAGTAAAAAAAAGCCAAGTAATTTATAGATTTTCAGTTTAGTCAGATATTTATGTGTTGGGGAATTTATAGTAAATTCTTAGCAGCTAAATTTCTTAGCAGCCACAAAAATATGGCGTGGTGGTACATACATGTAATCCCTGTTTCCTGGAGGCAGAGATAAGAAGATCACTTGTTGAGGCCAGCTTGGGCAAAAATTAGTCAAACACTCCCCCTTCCCTTTAATCTCAAAAACAATCTAGGTGTGGTGGCACATACACAGTCCCAGCTACTTGGGAAACTCGTGTTTTGAGGCTAGTCTGGACTAAGATAGTGTGAACCATAACTGAAAAACAAAGCAAAAAATGGGAGGCATGGCTCAAGTTGCAAGTATTAGGCTCTGAGTTCAATTCCCTCAATATGAACAAAACAAAAACAGCTCGTCTTAGGATTTCTTTTAATTTTCTATTTAAGAAGATGTACGTTTAAACAGTACCAAATTATATTATGAAGCCTGACCATGAGTTGGTTAGCCTGTCCTAAACTTAGTATCTTAGTTAAGTGTTAGATGTATAAGTACTTTCATCTTGTCCTAATTCTAAGGAATTTTAAAGCAAGACTATCACCATATTTAAACAACTGTTATTAACTAATTATACATAGACACTAAGAAATACAGTGCAAATAGGCCCCACCTGCACTTAACATTATATGAACTAAAATGTTTCACAACTGAAAGACATTTTGGAGACCATTGGGTTATATGAGAATAGACATAGGCATGTGGCCACCATGAAGCTCTCTTTCACTTCACAGATGAGGTACCACATCTAAAGTGGGTGTGGGGCTTGCCTGAGCTTAGTTATTAGGGTCTCATAGAAGCCTGATCTATTAGTTCAGTTGTTCTTTCAAAGCACTGTAAGTGTATCCTTGTTTTCTCTTTGTGTTTTTCTTAAGAACAAACCAAGTATTACATATTTGATACATTGTAAGAACCTTTGTAAATGCCACAGTGTACCCCCACCAAGCACAACAATAAAAGAAGAAAAGAATAAACCACATATTTGGTTTGTTTCTGGAAGATTTATGGCTACAGATCTCATCCTTTCTCACATACCACCTGAGTGTTGAGAGAAGCTACCAGCATCCTATGCCTAACTGCCCAGAAAAGCTGGCTTGCTCTAAGGAGTCTGACTGAAGCATGTGATAGTGGAGGTCATCCTACATTGCCTAAGCATTTGGTCACCACCCGATACTTCTGTCATTTTGTACTGGGTTGAAATGAGGTTGAATTTTTGATTGTACAACCAAATTATTTCATTAGTTTCTTTCTGGATGTGAATAGGCATTTTCACTAAGAGGTAAATATTTTTGCAAGCCTTTACAAAATCAACTTATATGACAAAAACTACTTTGAGAATAATCTTTCTTAATAATTTCTAATCAGCAGCTGTGCCATCAATTTAAAGCCCGGGAGTTCTTCCAAGGAGACAAGGACAAAGTGAACACTTAAATCCAACTTCGCAGTTGCATTGTTGGTAAGAGGGAAGGATTCTAATTTGGTTACATGTTCTCCAACCTTATTGGAAGGGCAGGAAAACACAATGTGTATCTACTATTTGTAGTGTTTGCAATGAAGTGTTGAAGAAATTAGGTGAAAGGAAAAGGCGTTATTACCATGTCCACTTGACTATAGGGTAGCAGAAAAGCCGATAAAGTCCCCAATCTGTAGTTGTCTATAAGGTAAATTAAAAAGCTCCTGAATCAATCAGCTTCTGACCTACAAGACCCTGTTGGTTGTTTTTGTTTTGTTTTTAAGCTAGATGAGAATCTAGAATTTCCCTTAGAGAACTGAGAAGAATTTGTATTTGTAAGCATTTTTTTTTTTTAAATACTGGTGACAGAGAGTGCTCAGCAAGGAAAAATGAGAAGTTTACTTGATTCTATGTTTTGAGGGATGGAAATCAGATAGAAACAAAATAATAAATACCTCCTTTTTGCTTGTCTGTTGAGCAAAGATGTGAATGTAAAAAGGCCAACTTTCTTGGTTGTATTACCAGCTAAAGCTTAATCTATACCAGACCATTCTAATGTAAGGGGTTTTTTTCCCTCTTTTTCTTTTTTTCTTTTTAAAGAATTTTGAGCTTTGCTATGAATATTTGCCAAAGGTTGTGGTGTGTTAAATTTAGCATTATGTTTGTGTCTTGGCCTTGATTTGTGATATATGGTAAGTTAAGTTTGCAAGTAGTGACCACATACATGAACTGCTTAGTATTATAATGAAGTTTGGGAGTTCTTTCAACTTCTTAAAACTATGTTCATGTTCATAGGATTTTCCACAAAATTGAGGGTTGGGATGGGCCTTGTAAAAACTGCAAAAGAATATTTTTGAGAGTTTTGCCCAGAAAGCATTCAAGTATATAAATTTCTTACGTACTAATGGGAACTGGTGAAAAAAGGCAAAAGGAACCAGAATGTAAGGAAATGTTCTCCTTTATCATATCCCTGAATCTTCAAAAAATTCCCATGTCTATTTTCAAAACCAAAAGATAAGTATGTTTGAATGCAAGTGTTGCTATTCTAATGTCCTACAATAAAGCAAGCCATTTAAGATGATTATTTTTTCTATAAATTCAAAATGTTAACCTCAGAATAAACCTCTCATTCCATGCAGTAATGTATCTCTAAGATCCAGGTCAAAGGGAAACTTCATATGACCACATAATACTACTGAGGAATATTGATTTTTTTTTTAACCTGCCATCATCTTAGTAGGTTTTTGTAATTTATTAAACACCTTGATACTGTCAGGTTTAGAATAGAAAGTAGCTCACTACCAATTATAAAAAAATGGCAGAAAGGCATGCATTGGTGACAATAAACAGGGATATACTGGAGTATTAGTCTCACGTTACTGTATCAAAATACCTGAGATAACTTAGAAAAGCTTTATTTGGGCTCACAGTTTTGGAGGTTCCAGTCCATGATCAAGCAAACCTTTTAGTTTGGGATGTGTGGTAGGAAAGCTGGATAGTAATAATGGAGAGCCTGTGGTGGAGCAAGTATGGCCAGGAAGCAGAGAATGACATTCTGTCCCACAGTCAGTCCCCTGCAGTCATGCCCTGTGGCCTCAGTACCTCCCACAGGGCTCCTCCCCCTAAAGCTCCCCAGTTCCTCCCAATGGCACCACCCTGGGGACCAGGCCTTAGATACATGGATTGTTAGAGGACAATCCACAGCAGCCAGTATGTGAACCAAGGCCTGAGGTGCTGCTAAACCTGTCGAATCACAAGGTGTGTTCTGGTCCTGCTCTCTAGTGGCAATACAATTATCAGTCCATAGTTTTTCTAGTCACTTCCTGGGGGGCCCACTCAGTTTCTTAGTTTTAAATTCCCAGTGTAGATTGCTGCTTGGTGCCTCAGGGTGGCATGTCCTGACCCTGTCTCCTCTGTAGAGGTACTGAAATGTGGCTGTCAACCTCATTTCAGATCCGATTATTTTTTGACAACACTGATGAAGCTGTTTACTAGAGTTTCTAAAAGTTCTATGACTGCTCAACCCACTTCCACTCATTTCATCACTGAGAGGTTTTACTTTGAGGAAAATCATTGAAACAGTAAGTTTTGATGTTTATATGAGCACAGTATTAGATGTTTATATTAGCGAGATACCCCAGTTTT